TTTCCTGTGATAGTAGCACTGTAGCACTGTATCACTGCCCTCTGTTGTTCATCTATTTGCTCAAGCAAGCCCAGTAACATTTCCATTGTGAGACTTGTTGTTACTGTGTTTGGTATATCAAATACGTCACGGGTAGCTTGCCAGGGTTTTGCAGTTATGCGAGATACTCTCAGTAGCTTGATGGGTTCTCCAAGAGGGGCGGAGGAATTGAACCCAGGTAGATCAGTAACAAATTCAATTCCTATCATTCCATACGGTTCCCTAAGATCACCAGGAGTGATCTCTTAGTGTAGAGACAGGAGTAAGTCCAGAAAACTGCTGGATTTGGCCCAAAATATAAATAAAAGCAAAGAAAATAGGATAGAGAAATAAGAGCTGAGATCATTACAATATTAATATGTTTTACATATGTAACATTTTTACAAGATTGACCATTGACTAGACTGATCAAAAGAAGATGAGAAAAAGTCAAATACCTGTAGAAATAAGGAAAAGGACATGACTACAAGTTCAATAAAGATAAAAAGTGACAGTAATTAAAACAGCATGATACAGACCGTAGATCAATGAAATAAAATTGAATATTCTGAGATAGGTCTCCAGGTATATGATCAGTTAATCTTTGATAAAGGAACAGAATGTATGAAGTGGATCAAGGAAAGACTTTTCAACAAGTAGTATTAATTGGCTATATGAAGAACAAAAAAAAAACAAAATATGCAAACCTCTCTAATGCTATGTACAAAATTCAAATCAAGGGCTGGAACGATAGCACAGCTGGTGGGGTGTTTGCCTTGCACGCGGCCAAACCAGGTCCGATTCCCAGCATCCTCTATGGTTCCCTGAGCACCACCAGGAGTAATTCCTGAATGGAGAGCCAGGAGTAACCCCTGTGCATCGCCAGGTGTGACCCAAAAAGTAAAAAAAAAAAAATTCAAATCAAAACAGATAAAAAAGCCTTTATATCAGACCTGAATCCATAAGGTACGTGGAAGAAAACATAGGCAGAAATCTCCATGACATTGAAGCTAAAGGCATATTCAAGAATGAAACACCACTGACCAAGCAAGTGAAAGAAAAGATAAACAAAATGGAACCATATTAAACAAAGAAGCTTCTATACTTCAATGCAAGTGATAAGTAAGATGCAAAGGAAGCCTATAGAAAGAGATAAATTGTATACCTGTTAGTCCTCTGACAAGGATTATTATCCAAGATATATAAGACTTCAGTTAAAATTTACAAGGAAAAAAATCCAACTCCATTTAAAAAATGGGGAAAAGAGATGAACAAAAACTTCCTCAAAGAAGAAACACAAATGACCAAAAGGCACATGAAAACGTTCTCTATTTCACTAATCATCAGGGAGATGCAAATCAAAACAACAATGAGGTATCATCTCATACCACAGAGACTTGCATATATCAAAAAAACATCCAGTGCTGGTGTGGATGTGAGGAGAAAGGGACTTATTCAGTATTAGTGGGAATGTAAACTGGTCCAGACTTTCTGGAAAGCATCTCTCTTAGAGGCCAAGTGGTAGGTGGGAGTAAAATAGGGCAGGAGGACTGGTAGAGTGAAATGGATATTGGTTAAAGGATTGGTGTTGAAACTTCATATACTTAAAAGCCAATAACGAATACTTTTAGTTTAAACAAAAACATAGCTACATTCAACAACTCCGATACTTGGTGGTTAAAAAAAAAAAGGTAACTAAGACCAATTTACATAGTAGCAATGATGATAGTGTAATCATGAGGTTTCTATTCCACTGTCATTTGAAGGCTATTCAAACTAAATTCATGATGACAGGTCAAAAATACTTTACTGGGGCTGGAGCAATAGTACAGCAGGTCATGGTTATGGTCCTCCCATTGTTCATCGATTTGCTCGGGCGGGCCCAGTAACGTCTCCATCATGAGATTTGTTGTTACTGTGTTTGGCATATTGAATACATCACGGTAGCCTGCCAGGCTTTGCCATGAGGGCGAGATACTCTTGGTAGCATGCCGGGCTCTCCAAGAGGGGCAGAGGAATCGAACTTGGGTTAGCCATGTTGGCTGCGTGCAAGGTGAACACCCTACCCACTGTGCCATCGCTCCAGCCCAGTACAGCAGGTAGGGCGTTAGTATTGCATGCAGCTGACCTAGGTTCATTCCTCAGCATCCCGTATGGTTCCTCTGAGCACTACCAAGAGTAATTCCTGAGTGCAGATCCAGGAGTAACCCCTGTGCATCACTGGGCGTGACCCAAAAGGCAAAAGGAAGGAAGGAAGGAAGGAAGAAAGGAAGGAAGGAAGGAAGGAAGGAAGGAAGGAAGGAAGGAAGGAAGGGAGGGAAAGAAAGGAAGGAAGGAAGGAAGGAAGGAAGAAAGGAAGGATGAGAGAGAGAAAGAAGAGAGGGAGAGAAGGGAGGGAGAGAAAGAAAGAAAGAAAGAAAGAAAGAAAGAAAGAAAGAAAGAAAGAAAGAAAGAAAGAGAGAGAGAGAGAGGAAGGAAGGAAGGAAGGAAGGAAGGAAGGAAGGAAGGAAGGAAGGAAGGAAGGAAGGAAGGGAGAGAAAGAAAGAAGAGGAGGGAGGGAGGGAGGGAGAGAGGGAGGGAGGGAAAGAAGGAAGGCAGGAAAGAAGGCAAGAAAGAAGGAAGGAAAGAAGGAAGCAAAGAAGGAAGGAAAAGAAGGAAAGAAAGAAAGAAAGAAAGGAAGGAAGGAGAGAAAGGAAGGAAGGAAGGAAGGAAGGAAGGAAGGAAGGAAGGAAGGAAGGATGAGAGAGAGAAAGAAGAGAGGGAGAGAAGGGAGGGAGAGAAAGAAAGAAAGAAAGAGAGAGAGAGAGAGAAAGAAAGAAAGAAAGAAAGAAGGAAAGAAAGAAAGAAAGAAAGAAAGAAAGAAAGAAAGAAAGAAAGAAAGAAAGAAAGAAAGAAGAGGAGGGAGAGAGGGAGGGAGGGAGGGAGAGAGGGAGGGAGGGAAAGAAGGAAGGCAGGAAAGAAGGCAAGAAAGAAGGAAGGAATGAAGGAAGCAAAGAAGGAAAGAAAGAAAGAAAGAAAGAAAGAAAGAAAGAAAGAAAGAAAGAGAGAAAGAAGGGAGGGAGAGAGAGAAAGAAAGAAAGAAAGAAAGAAAGAAAGAAAGAAAGAAAGAAAGAAAGAAAGAGAGAGAAAGAGAGAGAGAAAGAAGAAGAGGGAGGGAGGGAGGGAGGGAGGGAGGGAGGGAGGGAGGGAGGGAAAGAAGGAAGGCAGGAAAGAAGGCAGGAAAGAAGGAAGCAAAGAAGGAAGCAAAGAAGGAAGGAAAAGAAGGAAGGAAAGAAAGAAAGGAAGGAAGGAAGGAAGGAAGGAAGAAAGAAAGAAAGAAAGAAAGAAAGAAAGAAAGAAAGAAAGAAAGGAAGAAAGGAAGAAAGAGGGAGAGAAAGAAAGAGGGATAGAGAAAGAAAAAAGAAAGAAAGAAAGAAAGAAAGAAAGAAAGAAAGAAAGAAAGAAAGAAAGAAAGAAAGAAAGAAAAGAAGAAGAAGAAGAAGGAAGGAAGGAAGGAAGGAAGGAAGGAAGGAAGGAAGGAAGGAAGGAAGGAAAGAACTTTACTGGCAACCAGCTGAGAGGTTTGAAGATGGTGAATTCATCCTCAAAGCAATCATAGTGAATGTAATCAATTATTGTGACCATTATAAAAATTAAATAAAATTTAAAATAAATAAATAAAGATAATTTGCTATGTGTGCTTTTTCTCCACCAGAGAGGCAATGTCTCTTCAAATATGTATCTGGTATGTATCATTAGAGTCACTGGTTTTCAGACTACTTGTAGACATTGTAAGTTAGTACCCATTTTAGTGGTCATCTTGTAAAAATTAAAAGTAGAGTGACACAGTAAAGCTTTGCCCAGAAAGTGGACCCCACCTCCAAGATAACTTAGTTGCAGTATCTAATTGTCAAAGTCAGCAGCCACCACGTAATCAAGATCATGTTAACTAATTCTAATTGTATCCTATTGCATCACATGTTTTTCTACTCTAATTATTCTGCCCCAAAATTTCAATGGCAGTAACTGTTTTTAACAGAGAAGACAAGCAAACTAGATCATCAGAAACAAGCACTAGCCTTGCCTTAGATCACAAAGAAGACTCAATTCTGTTTCAGCCTCAAAAGATATATTGTCAAAGAAAAGAAATTATGTCTGGGCAATGAAAATACAACCTCCCTAATCTTTCTGATATGTATTCCAAATTAGTGAAGCTGACCTTTTCTTAGAACTTTGAGCATCACGAGGATATCAGTAGGGAAGAGATCATGTGCTAACCAAATACTTAAAGGGCAGAAAAATTCACTGAAGTGAAAGAGGATTAATAAAGACTGCAAATAATAAGCAGCCCCTCCCAGTTTGGGTGAGCAGATTTGGGATTAGCTATGGGACAGAAATGCACATGCAATTAACAGCTCTGACATCAGAGGACAAGCAAATATAAAACACCCAACTCTCAGAGAGTTTCATCAGAGAATCACCTCAGGAGTTGAAGGTACTGGAGAGAAGCTCTATGGGGAGTGGGTGGACTCCTGCCAAAACTCCATTTAGATGGGGACTTTAAGTCATGAATTAAAAGCAAAAATCTTGCTGGAAATCTGTTCCTAATCCTTCTTCCAGCTCCATAGTTAAGTGTAATTAATAGTGGTGATCTGCTAATGAATGCTTTTGATAAATGACACTAGGATACGTATTTTTTTATAAATAGAAATTAAAAGTGAAGAAAACTGACTAGAGTCAGGAATTTAATTATGTAGGCAGAAGATATGTCAGATTTTTCAAAGGCAAATTACTATATTTATAATTTGCTTGAAATGTCATTTTATTGATATGAAAGGATTTTGAAGGTGAGTTGGGAAAGCTTATTTCCATTATTAACAGTATAAAAATGCATAAATCCATTTCCCTTTCTCCTTTACAGCTTGATGTTTATCTGTGTGCCTCCGTGTCCACTCTGAAGGTTTAAACCTAAGTTTTATTCTTCACTCTTGCTTCCAGCAGAAATGAAAGCTCATGTACTCCTTTCTCTGGAATACATCTGCTTGTCGCTACCTCTTTTCCAGCAGGTTTTCTCTCAGTTCCCGCGAGATTGTGCCACTGTTCAGGCTTTAAGAAATGGTGTATGTTGTCCAGATTTGTTCCCCTTTTCCGGACCTGGGACCGACCCCTGTGGCTCCTCATCAGGCAGGGGCAGATGTCAGGCAGTGATTGCAGACTTCCGGCCCCATAGTCCTCAGTACCCACATGACGGCAGAGATGACCGTGAGGGCTGGCCCATGCGGTTTTTCAACAGGACATGCCAATGCAATGGCAACTTCTCAGGATACAACTGTGGGACTTGCCGTCCTGGATGGCGAGGAGCTGCCTGTGATCAGAGGGTCCTCACAGGTAAGTGGAGCTCTAAATACATGCTGGGCTCTAAGGGAGACTCAAATGATTTGCCTTGTAGGAACATCTGGAAATCATATAGTTGAATCCTGTCTTTCCACATTTCAGAAAACAGATTTTTGGAGAAGAGGTGTTTTTTTTTTTTTACAGGACTTAAATTGGAATTTGAAAAAAAATCTATGTCCTTTCTAAAGCATTTGATGAGGAACCCCTATAGCTAGTAATTGTGTAAAGTGTTTTCATAATTCTTCTAGGTGGTTCTATTCATTATCATAGTCAACATGCAAAGAGGTCACTCCACAGAACTGGTACTTTAAAAACCTGAAATTCATTCTAGGATCTAAGTTTAATACATGAGCTTCTTCTGCTGTTCTTGCTGACCCACAGTAAAATATGTCTCACTGTGGTTTTTAAGTAAGGTCATGGGACTGGCCTATAGCCTGTCACTGTCACTGTCCTCTCGTTGTTCATCGATTTGCTCGAGCGGGCCCAGTCACATTGTGAGACTTGTTACTGTGTTTGGCATATCAAATACGTCACCGGTAGCTTGCCAGGCTTTGCTGTGCGCGTGAGGTACTCTTGGTAACTTGCCAGGCTCTCCAAGAGGGGCGGAGGAATCAAACCAGGGTTGACCATGTTGGCTGCGTGCAAGGCAAACGCCCTACCCTATAGCTCCAGCCCAGCCTATAGCCTAAATAGCAATAAATATGAAAGAACTGAATTCAACAGTTTGCAAGTGCTACACATTGAGGCCAGAGTTTAACAAAAACACTTTTTATTTATTATCAGTATGACTCTATTCTAACTTCTTCTCATGGAGGTATCCCTTAATCTTTACACTCCATATACCAGTAGTTATTTTCACATGTACTATACAGAATTCAAAAAGCAAGGCTTAGAGAAAAGTGCTCACAGTCATAGACTGTCTCTGGCTTCTACCATTATGCTATGCCATATACCATATACCTTGTTTTAGTTTTCCAAAATCCATGGTATTGTAAAGATAGAAAATGCCAAGAAAAAAATATCAATAGTTAGTAGAAATAAATTTATCAGTCTCATAATCACTACAAAGAATATAGAAACATAATGAGAATTTGAGACTGAAGTGATGAGAAAGGGAAAGAGAGAAAGAAAGCCAACCTGGAGAAGGAAATTTTAGTAAGCAGTACTTTTTATAAGTATGAAATGGTTTGTACATATCTACAAATTATTGTTGATTGGGCCAAAGTAATCTGATGTGTTACAAATTAATTAACTCATATGCTACCCATTCCCTTAAGGCAGATGTTTACATGTTTAAATTTTGTGCCTGTAAAGTCAGGAGGAATCTTCTGGAGTTAAGTACAGAGGAAAAGAGCCGCTTTGTCCAGGCCCTGGATATGGCGAAACGCACCACTCACCCTCAGTTCGTCATTGCCACCAGGAGATCAGAAGAAATACTGGGGCCAGATGGCAGCACACCACAATTTGAGAATATTTCCATTTATAACTACTTTGTTTGGACTCACTATTATTCAGTCAAAAAGACCTTTCTCGGGCCAGGCCAGGAAAGCTTTGGTGGTGTGGATTTCTCTCATGAGGGACCAGCTTTTCTCACCTGGCACCGATACCACCTGCTGCAGTTGGAGAGAGATATGCAGGTAAGTCTTACAAATCTCAAGGTCAGGCAACAAAGGGCCAGGTTTTTAAGTTACTTTTAAATCCTGTATACCAACAATGCGATCAAACATTGTGGCAAAGCTTTATGTTATTAACCTGTCGTTGATTATCAAATATCTCCCCATCCTAATTTTTTTTTAATTTTTATGTTTTGTGACATGAAAAGAAAATTGAGATAAGTGATGAGAATACCAGATAAAATAAATTTTGGAGTGAATTAGAGCCTTACCCATATTCTACAGCCATATAATTCGACAGGGAAATACTTCCAATAGATTACCACAAAAGAATCTCATATATTATATTATTATTGACCTCTATTTTTTTCAGGATACCTACTTTATAATTTATAGAAATATTTAAATAATATCATATAAGTTAGATATCCTTTTTATTTAGAAAGTAGTGACTGTTTGGGCATAAAATGAATCTCAACCCAAATATTTCCTGCTTATATTTAAGCAAGTATGCTCAAAACATATTAAAATATCTGTAAACTAGGTTACCTTATTATTATTTAATTTGATAACTACTGTTATTTGAGAAAAATATTAAAATTTAAAAAGTGAAAGTTTTATTATTAAATCTCACCAAAAGCTCCACAATTTTAATTTGCATACTGAGTGAAATAATAGCAGTGAATCCTACCTCCCTCACCTACTAGTTAAAAATCTAAAAATATCTGAGGTCACAAAAGGTGTTTCGATTAATGTATTGATCAGCAGTTTAATATATTCATATAAAAATCATCCATTCATATGCAGTTTGTGAGTGATAGATGAATTTATTTGATACTCTGAACTTCATGGTTTATAGCTCTGATTACAGGTAAGACATTTAGTGGATTAAGAGTAGATAAATCTGTCGTTTGTAATAGACTCCAGATCTTTAAGTCTTAAAGTCATTTTCCCATGGGTACACCAAAATGAAAGGGCAGGGGGGATGTATCTGAAAGATTCAGTTCTGACTGTATAAACTTCAGCATCTATAACTTACATTTTTAAAACCCACAGCACAAGAGATCGAACGAATTGCAAGTAAGATGTTTTACACAGCTGAAATGCCACATGAATGTTCCAGTTCCCAAATGTCAGTTGCTGAACCACAAACAGACTCTTAATGATCTCTTGGAACCTGTCACTAATTTTTGCAAACCAGAACAAAGGCTTCTCACAGAGGCTCTAAGTCCCTGGAGAGCAATACCTGGGGATGCCTTGGAAAGCTTTTTGGTCCTCTATAAGCCCCCCAAGGACAAGGAAATTCTTCCTAGAAAAGGTTTAAAGAAAAAAAGTAGAAATGCTTTCAGGGTGAAATGAAACAAAGGCAATAACTACATTTAAATCATACTCTACTAAAAAAATTCCTCAAAGGACCAAGAGATAACAAGTACAATAATATATGCTTTAAAGAGCACAATAAAATAAGCATATGATCTTGAGTCCAGTATTTTTTTAATGTTGAAATCAGCTCTAAATCAAAATTCAGTCCCTGGACTAAAGAGGTATATCTCAAAAGAATGTCTGCTTCCTTTTAGCATTTCCTCCTTATCTGCATTTTAACAGAAACCCTAATCTTAAAACTTTAGATTCTGAACCAGAGAAATAATGTGACATATAAGACTTTTGCCTTGTGTTCACCCAACCTGGGTGAGATACTTAGCACTATATAAGGGTCCTCTAGGCCTACTAAGTGGGATCTCAGAATACAGAGTCAGGAACTTGCTTGGAGCAAACTGGGGTGTGGCCCCAAAACAAAAACAAAACAAAACTAGATAAAACAAACAAACAAAAAAAAAACAAAAATTTTAGAGTCTGAAGGAGTCTTTAGAAAATCAACTTTAGTGCCTAAGTAAACCAAAAATATTTTAGATACAGAATAAAAATCTAAATTTATATTTATTCTGTTTCTAAAATTTTATTTATTTTTTTTTCATCAACCTGTTATTCAGTGATTGCCTCGAGCAGGCCCCAGTGACATCTCTTTCATCCTAGCCCTGAGATTATATTCAAGGCTCTTTAGGAGAATAAGACCCATCATTGTTACTGGTGTTTGGCATATTTGGTACGCCACAGGGAGTTTGCCAGACTCTGCCCTGTGGGCAGGCTACATTCGATAGCCTGCAAGTTTGTCCAAAGTAGGAATGAGATAAAATTTTATTAATTTCATTATCTGATAATAAAAATATAAAATATAAATGAATTTAGACATGAATAAAAACTAAAAACTAAATTAAATCAAAATTTTAAAATTTTAAAAATTTAGATTCTGAAGAGAGTATCTATTTTTTTCTTCAGAATCTAAAGGCACTAAAAACACCTTTAGTGCCCACGAATGAGGTAGATATGAAAAAGCCATTGTAGGCTGGGGTCAAATCAAAATCCAAATGACTAAAGTGACTCAAACTAAATTAAGATATAAAAACACAAATAAAAGCAAGTCCACAAAGTATAGTTCAAGAACAGATCTAGCTCCAGAACAGTTGTATGAGAGATGGGAAAATGAAAGGAGGTAAAGGTTATCATCGATAATTTTGTTTTAACAAGTAAAGGGGTAATTATTTGTCTAAAAAAGAATAGGAATACCAGTGTTGCTTCCCAATTCATCTGCAAACTCTTTCATATAATGATTTCTTTCTGAAACCTAAATGATTCCTTTTACTAAATTAAAACTTGTAAAAACAAGATGCTTCACCCTTAGACCTCTCAGATATCCTTGATAACTAACTGAAGGACTAAAGATTACCAATAAAAACAGATCGCAGGGAATAAACCAAATAAAACTATTTTTAAGCAAAAGCAGAGAATGCTAACAAAGTGTTTGTGATCTAGGAAATGTTGCAGGACTCTTCTTTCTCCCTTCCTTACTGGAATTTTGCAACTGGGAAGAACGTCTGTGACATTTGCACCGATGACTTGATGGGATCAAGAAACAACTTTGATTCCACTCTTATAAGCCCCAATTCAGTTTTTTCTCAATGGCAAGTGATCTGTGAATCCTTAGAAGATTATGACACCCTGGGAACCCTTTGTAACAGTAAGTTCCAAATGACATGCAGTATTCAGAATTGTCTAATAAATAAAGAGAGGAAAACAGTTTGCCAAAAATTCCAGTCTATAATCTTTTTTATAAAGAATCAATATAAGATACTCATTGAGAAATTAGGATATCAAGGCAATCAGTAAAATTTTGCTCCAGGAGTAGCAGAAGATATATAGATAATCTATCTATCTATCTATCTATCTATCTATCTATCTGTTCATCTATTAACATTGTTTTCTTGAGTGATTTAGCCAGTGCATTGCTCAGTTTCTTAAATTAGAAATATCTATTTGTATAAATTAATCCTCAGTGCACTCATCGTTGCTCAGCAGTCATAAAAGAAAACATTTTATTTAACACAAACTGTATTTAAGAAATGGTACCATATGCTTTAACATGCTTTCTTTTAATCCTCTTATGAATATCCCTTATGTTTCTTCTTACATGAAATCATCTAACCTTATAGTTTTAATCATCTTTAACAAAATACATATTCTCATATATTTATATATATATTCATATAATACATATTCTCATATATTCATATATACATAAATCTTTCTAAGACTTTCTATGATTATGGTTCCATATGATGGTTGAACAGTTTTTTGCTAAAAATTTCACTTAATTATCAAAATCTGTAATAGTGAAATATTTTTAATGTCTATTTCTTTTAATTTGCAAAATATTTTTCTAGTCACTTAAATATCTTTGAGTCATCTTATGACAACTCTACCCTCACAATGCTGCTCCAATCTGTCTTCTAGAGAATGCTTATATTTCTCTTTGGAGACCAGAGGATTAAGCTACCATAAAATTTTCCTAGCCAATAGGAGTGAGGTCATTTTGGTAGGGGGATGGTGATGGAACTTCAGAAGTGGATATGGGGATAAACATACACAGTAGAAGTGTGAAGATAAACTCCTGAAACTCCATGGTATTGTAATTATAAATTTATGAGAGAAAAAATTAAACAGAACCCTAAATTCCCAAACAGCCTTTAAATGTTTGATATTCCCTCTTTTTATCAGGTACTGAGAGTGGACCAATTAGGAGAAATCCAGGTGGAAATGTGGCTAGGCCAATGGTGCAACGGCTTCCCGAACCACAGGATGTAGCTCGGTGCTTGGAAGTTGGTTTATTTGACACACCTCCTTTTTATTCCAATTCTACAAATAGTTTTCGAAACACAGTGGAAGGCAAGTAAAGGATGTTGGTGGTTTAAGTCAAACTAGTCATCATGATAAATCAAAATAAATTCAGATCTATGGAAAATTTTTGAATATTATACTGATCTTATAAATTTATGTAAACAATATTCCTTACTTATGATATCACAATACTCTGCAAAAAAAAACACATAAAACTAAATCATGAGATCAGAGAAATCCATTATCCCACACCCCTAAATGTGAATAATGGATTTCTCTATCCCCATGATTTAAGATATTTAATGCATATTTTAATTTTTACCCTTTTGAATGAAAATTATATGACTTTTTTCTTTATGTTATATTTGATGACTGAATATAAATTTACTGATTTATAGATGATGTACAAATAGTTGTATTTTGACCACACTATAACATATTATAAGCATATAAGTAGTGCTTTCTTTTTAGAATGTGCATATAGTCTTACTAATGATTAATTTTTTGAAGGTATATTAATTTTCTGACAGAATGAATCAAAACCTAGAGGCTAATCCTTATGTTTTCAGAAAACATATTTTATTTTTATTCCATTAAAAATATAGTATCTAAAAGTATAAGTTATTATGATTAATAAATTAACATATTCAAAATTATTATTTAAAGTAAAAACTTATTTGAGGACCAGAGAGACAGTAGAGGAGTTAAGATCTGCAACCCTCCTTAACACTAGTTTAATCCCCAGAGCCATAGGCAATCTTCTGAACACTAAGCTAGCATTAGCCCCTGAGCAAAACAGTATGGTTCGATTCCCACCCAAATAAATGAAATAAAGTACAATCATATTTTAAAGAATAATTATGATACAACCTTTTCCATTTCTCCACCTCTCATCCTAAGCCAACCAGATACACTTAAACCTTCATCTCGTGTCATAATTCTTCCATTTTTATTTGTGATGTATCTACATCTTCATTATAATATATTATAACATTTTCCCTGTAGTATGGAAATATAAATGAAAAATATATGTAATATATGATGAGGGGAACTCTACAATATAGAATTTAGCACAATTTAGAAGTATAATACACGTAAAATAAATAGTATTGTAAATATAACTCTAAATACATATATATGAATATTAACATTCCTATAATTTATATGTGAAATAAAATATGTAGTATGTCGATCTATGTAGAGTAGATATCATTATCAAAAGTACATTGACAGCAGTCTTTCCAGTGTTTAAAACTAGCACAGAGATGGTAAGAAAGCAGGAGAAATTGTAACTTCCCTCCAAAAAAAACTTTTCTAAAATAAACATGCTGATAGTCATTCAAAGGAATAAGGTAGAGAATTAAGGAGCATCTGCAATTTAAGTTTCTGGACAATCACAGTGATGTTCCATCACACGTCAGCAGTTTTTAGAAGAAATGAAAGATTTTATTCTCCTTATTTCTGTGGAGATCAATATATGTCACGTCAAAATAGACTGCTCTACATATTTTGACTGGTATTTTTGCAGAATCATTATTTTTAACCTAGAGGCTACACTTAAAATGTCATGGCACTAGTTTAAAACAAGCCTAGCTCTGGGTATAGTTAACAAATGTCACCTACAATAGGATAGGTATAGAGAAACCATGCTATTATATAAAGGTAAAATTTAGCCTGACAATCTTAGGAAAATAATAAATGTTTCCCAATATAGTCACTTCTCTTAACTTACAAAGTAAGATATTTGCAATGATTTTTACTATTCCTATTCTTATTTTTGTATCTAGGTTACAGTGATCCCACAGGAAGGTATGACCCTGCTGTCCGAAGCCTTCACAATTTGGCTCATCTGTTCCTCAATGGAACAGGGGGACAAACTCATTTATCTCCAAATGATCCTATTTTTGTCCTCCTACACACTTTCACTGATGCAGTCTTTGATGAATGGCTAAGGAGATATAATGCTGGTGAGATACTTTCATTATTCTGTTTGCAGATTCAGCAAAGGAAATTGCTAAATTAGCATAGTTAGTACTTGATATATATAGATTAAACTTAAAACTATGGGTGAAACAATTAACAGTATCGTTAATTGGAAAATATTCCAATTATTTTGGATGGCAGATAAGAAGTCTTAAAGAGAGTTATTATATGTAATATTTTCGTAGCATTCAATCCCTCTCAATTTTATTCAGAAAATATAATTACCACTTTTTCCAAATGTTTGTTCATATTTTCCAAATAATGTTCTTCTTTATTTGTAAAGGGAATGGTAAAATGTTATAAATATTTCTGATACCTTCAAAGACAAAAAAGTGATACTCATCATCCACCTTTCTATATAATTTTATTCCTCTTACAAATGGAAAATTTGTTAAACTGAAAAAGTTAAAGTTGTTTGATATATCAAACCACTGGAAACATCTTTTTTAAATTTGACCCTTTGAAGAAGGTACCATTTCTTTTCAGAAAACCAGTGTCAGGTAGTCGAGCAATATCACAGAGTACTGTTCTTGCTTTGTATGCAGCCCACCTGGGTTCTATCCCCAACACCTCATACAGTTGGTCCTCGATGCCATCCAAGAATGATCCCTGATTGCAGAACCAACAGTATACTATGCACCACTGGGTGTGGCCCAACACACACACACACACACACACACACACACACACACACACACACATAACACACACACATTTTTACTGATTAAAGCAACACCATAAATTTTTGTATGTCAGTTTTTTAAATTTTTAGTGTCCTTACTTTACTACATTACATAATATTGGTGATTAACTATATTACTTCATAAATATCTGCATATTATTTTATCTATCCAATTTTTCTAATCTCATAGTCCTTAATTTCCAAGACTGATCATTACGTTACTGATCATTCTTTTCTCATGTAACAAGAAAATGAGAGAAATATCGTAAATAACATGCTATTTTAAACTTTTTAAGAAAAAAACAACCCACTTTACCCCATATCTTTCTACTGTTAACAATGCAATAATAAAAAGCACAAATATCTCTTTGAACTACTGAATGCTGGATCATGCAGTTTTATTTCTAATCCTCCATCCTGCTTTCCCTTGTAGCTATCCCCGTTCCTAAGAACAGTTCACGATGATTCCATTTTCTTTACAGTTTCCCTAATATGTATTTCCTATCTTTGTGTTAATAGCATTCCTAACAGGTGAGAGATAATGATATTGTTGTTTCCATCTTTATTTTCTAATGATTAGTAATATTCAGCACCTTTTCATAAGCCTAAATTTCAGTACTAAAACTTGCCCACTTTTATACTTTCTTTTCATGTTCACCCTTATGGTAGTGAGGTAATCAAAGCATTTGAACTGTTTGATACAATTAAATTTTCTGCTGTAGTGAATTTTTAAAAAAAAATCTTTATCCACTTTCAAATAGTAAGGAATATTTTATGTCATCCTTGAATTTTTTGGACACAATCAGAAGGTAATTATGCATTAATGTTAACTTTATTATGTCTATTAACAAAATATGTTTGGCATATTTTAGATATATCCACATTTCCACTGGAAAATGCCCCTATTGGTCATAACAGACAATACAATATGGTGCCATTCTGGCCTCCAGTTACAAACACAGAAATGTTTGTTACTGCTCCAGACAACCTAGGATATACTTATGAAGTTCAATGGCCAAGTAAGTATTAAATCAATAATGTATTTCTACTGTGAAAATTTCCCAAAGTAATCTTGTTACTTTGATTACAAGATTGATACAAGATTGCAAGGTAATCTTGTAAGGAATCAAAAGCAACTACACTGTTTTCTTGTACTTATAAAACTTTATTTCAGTTTTTATTTCGGAATAAAAATAATATATTTAACATTTGGTGAGTGCCCACTTGATCTGGTATTGACAAGCTGATTGTATAGCATGTTATTCCACCTAATCCATAGGCTCTGAAGCATTATAAATTGCATTTTTCAAATAAATAGTTTTCTATCGGTTGCAAAGAAATCACATTTCTAGTACATAGATATATTGAGATTGGACCCAGGTAACATGCCCCTCCTTTGTAATGTGTAACAATATCTCCACTTATTTATTCTTTAAAAAACTGTAAAATGAGATACCCTGAGTCAAACTTTTAGAGCCACTACTTCCACACCTTTAAGAGTGAAAATAATGTTATCCCAATAAAATTCCATTTTAAGAAACCAGAAGATGCATTTGAGGTAACAGGTATTATATTACAAAATTGATCAATAAAAATTAAATGAAGCAGTTTTGTAAAATACTTTAAAGTGTCTAAGTGTAGCGCAACCAGTGCATTGAAAATTATTTCCTTACCTTTTTACTTTTTATTTTATTTTATTTTTCATATAGGTCGGGAGTTTAGTATTTCCGAGATTATCACCATAGCGGTAGTTGCTGCTTTATTGCTAGTTGCCATCATCTTTTTGGGTGCTTCATATCTGATTCGTGCCAGAAACAACATGGATGAAGCAAATCAACCACTACTCACTGATCAGTATCAACAGTACTCGGAAGAATATGACAAAATACAGAATCCTAATCAATCTATGGTCTGATAATAAGATAATTAATTCTCTTATGCTTTAGTATCACAAAAACATGTGTTTGAAAAATAATAGATTGAATTATTTCCATGTTATTTCACCGACTTTATTTCATATATACACATATATTAGATTAAAATACCTAATCATTATCTTCTAAAGTTTGTAAGAGTCATACACTGTCTTTTCAATGGGTCATATTTTTTACTTCTGTTTTATTATCTTATTGTTTTGTCTTTGGGCCAGACCTGCAATATTTAGGGGTTGTTCCTCGCTCTGTCTGCACTCAGGAATCACTCCTGATGGTGTTCAGGTGACTATATAGGGCACTTGTGATTGAACCCAGGTCAGCTGTGAGCAAGGCAAGCATCCTAACCACTGTACTCTTTACAACCCCTTTTGTTCTATTTTAGATTACATCAACTTCATAATACTTAGGTGAATATCTTTGGCATTTTTTTCTTTTGAGTTTTGAGCCACACCTAGCACTTTGCATATTTTAAAGTTTTGTCAATGTAAGAGTGCAGTGGTTAATAGTGTAAGTAAAGTTCTGGGGGGTTTGTGCATAAAGAAAAATTGTGACTGAGTAAATTGCTATGATTATACATTTTTACATAATTTCAGTCTCTGACAGTAGCAGATATAAGGAGGTTTTTTTGTATTTTTTTAATTAGAGTTGTAAATAAAATCCCCATGAACTTTTTCAAGATAACTTTTACATTGAGTATTGGCATATCTTGTTTAGTCTATAGTTCAAGACCACAACATAAACAAAACTGCTATATTTAAGAGAGCATTTATATTCTTTTATGTTTATCATTATGCTTCCTTGCCTCCTAACCCGTTGAAAAGTACCCATTTGTGATCTAACCTTCACTATCATCTTCTAATATCTCATAGGTCTATATACACATACAAACAGGTATAATTGTGGAAAATGAAGATCAGTGTTAAATATGCATTTAATTCATTGTGTTTAGTTCAAACATCATTTTATTATTATTTATCAGGAGTTCATGTATTTAAAAATAAAATGCTAAAATACCATTTCAGTAGTCACCTTTTTATACAACTCTATAAGAATTTTACTGTTATTTTCTATCTTTTATCTTTTAGCATCCAATATATTTCTTCTTTTTGATTTTTGTGATTTTGTGTAACTGATTAATTAGGATTCACGAAGTCAAAAATTAAAGCATCCTAATTATTCATTTTGTAAATGTTTTTAAGGACATACTACCTTTTGCACCTAGTTCAAGATACTGTAAGTATGAATTAGTAGGAGGGAAAATCAAAGATGTAAAATTGAGAAAATCACATTTTACTTGGGCCTAAAAGCATGCAAATTAATCTACTAATATCAGTAGAGAATGGAGGACATTCCATGCAGAAGTGTCAACATGAGCAAAATCACAGGAGTTTGGAAGCATGTGAAATATTCAAAAATGTAAAGTAGGCCAGTGTGTTCATAGATTTTTTAAAGAGGAGTCAAGAGATAAACCGGAAATAAAATCATGGTGTTCTTTATGAAATCCCAAGAGATTTGGGATTCATTCAATAGTTAATAAGTAGGAAAGAGTCTTCAATAAGCTATTTGTTTTCAGCTTGGGGGTCATACCCAGCAAATATCAGGGTTTAGTCTTGGCTCTGCTGTCAGGAATCAATCCTGGTAGGGCTTAGGAGTCTATTCGGATGTCAGGGAGCAAATCCAGATTTGCCACATGCATAGAAAGTGCCCATCCTACTGTATTATCATTCCAACCCCTTCGATACACTGTTTAATAAAAATTATGGTGATGGTGAAATTTGCAAATAATGTTGATTCAGAATTATTTTGAATGATTCAAATATTTGATAATGTTAGTTAAATGAGAAGAGAGTTTGTCACAAAACAAACATTCACTAGAAGAAATCTTTATTATAAGGAAAGATCTACGCAATGTATTGTTTAAAATAACAGCAACTGTTTTCTAAATGTTTCCTCTAGTTTCTTACATTAGAGGTTGTCCATATATTGAATAGGTCTGTGAGGTCTTGTCTGTGTGATCAGATAACCTTGGTTTCCTTATAATATGCTGTACTATCCATTGCAAAAGATCTTTATTTTTAATCTTGGAGATTTTTACTGTACTCTTTCAGTTCTGTTATAAAACAGTAGTAAATAAAGTAGTAAATAAAGTTATTACGCACTCACTGAAATGTATTTAACTCACATGCAAACAACTTGAAACACATTCTTCTGTAGCATAAGCACCTATAACATGCCAGTGCCACAAACTGAGCTCTATACTCAAGCTCTATACTCAAACTGGAATGGGTTAAAAAGTGACTTAACTTGCCTTCAAAATAAGAAATTTAAAAACTGGGTCCAGAGAGATTGTACAGTTAGTAAGTTACTTGGATATGGGTGTGAGGGTGGAGATTTTAAATCTTAAAATAATGGTTCTAAGGTTTAGTTATCAGACTTTTTTTTTAGGTCAGTCATAAATATTTGATAATGTTAGGTAGACACTCCTTTGCCAGTTCCTAGTGACATATTTTATCACACAATCTGTCAATATATGATCAAGTATTGCAGAGATAATAGGATAGAAAAACAACATTAAGAATATACTAAGAAATTAAGAACAGGGCTGGCGAGATAGTACAGGAGTTTAGGCACTTGCCATGCACAATGCCGATCCTGGTCTGATCCCTAGCTTGATTTATGATACCTAAGTACTGCCAGGAGTGATCCCTGAGTATAGAATCAGGAGTAAGTTCTGTAAAACAATCAAACAGCACAAATGTTAATAATGCTTAGATTGGACTGAGGAAAACTTACCCAAGAACCATAAGAACATACAAGTCTTTTTTTTACCTTTTTTATAATTTTATTTATTGAATCACCATGAGAGCAGTTACAAAGCTTTTGGGTTTAAGTCTTGGTCATACAATGAAACACCCATCCCTTTACCAGTGCCCATTTTCCACCATCAAAAATCTCAGTATGTCCCCCACCCCACACCCTCCCTCTACCTGTGGGGCAGAAGGTTTCCACATTACTCTCTCTCTACTTTGATTACATTCAATATTTTGAGAACAGACCCACCATTATTATTTGGGATTTTACCCCAACACTCAGATCTGCCAAAAAGGCAACAGTAGACAATTTTTTTTCTATTGCTGGTTAAGAATAACATATGATGTTGGGCGGCCACAGTAGTGGCCGCGCAATTTTGGAATTCCGAAATTTCAACAATTAAATCTGGAAGGATTACTGCCAAAACCTGCTGGGTTCTGAGATTTAAGAACATACAAGTTTTATAATGTGTTAACCTCATAAAATGTGATATGCAATAGGGCAACATGACAAAACCTGTGCACTCTGTGTTAAGACATTGTTTTCTCACACAATATAAAACGTGAAAGGTAAATAACCTAAAGTCACTAATCAAGGCCACATGGCAATATTTTCAAGAATGCAGACTCTTTCTAAGTTTTAGCCATGACTTTTATTGTGAAGTCTTCCCCCCATTTATTTATTTATTTATGTTTTGGGCCACACCTGGTGCTGTTCAGGTGGTACTCCAGGCGCTGCACTCAGGAATCATTCCTAGCAGGTCTGCCAAATAGAAGGTAAGTATACTACCTGCTGTACTATCCACAATCCCTGCTCTTCATTTTATTTATACTCAAAGTTGAAAAATGTCTGCTACTTGTTCATATTTTAAACTTAACCATGTTTATTTTTCCATTTATAAATAATATCATTTCAAGTATCCTGCTTATATTTTATTAGAAGTTTATCACATTACAGGGCAACATAGAAAAAAGAAGGTCTTATTGTTAGTTGGTTGGATGGTTTGTTACTATAGTAAATATATTCATAATGATTATGTACATGAGAGAGTGAATTTGGGATAATGCAAACTTGGAGTATTGCTACAATAAATAAAAAATAATCAATCAACAATTTTTATAATTTTGACAGTATGAAAGAAATTACAATGTACTACCCTTCTAAAAAAATCTCATAGAGTCAAGGAAGATAATTCAAAGGACTAAGCATATGCTTTAATATGGTAGTCTTAGGTTCAATCTCCATAAATGCCTGTTACCCCACACAACTCCTGAACAAACAGCTGGAAACATCCCCTGAAAGCACAAGTATGGCTCTAAAAAAGATATCTGATGAATGGGAAGATAATGTGTTTAAAGAATATTTGCTGAAAAAGTTAAAAGATAGAACTTAAAGGATTACAAAATTTCATGAAACATTAAAGGACAGAGTTCTAGACACAGAGATAAAAACCTACAGAATAACTTTATTCAATAAATTAGTCGATGTGATTATACCACAGTCAGCATGTACAAGAGACATGCTGGAATTATGGCCAGTTTACATAGTTAGAGCCTTTTAAATCAGAATGATGTGTTTCAAGTGCAACTATGAAAAGAGAAGGAGAGAACTCACAAAGTCTTATTTACACATTATAATGAGAAAGATGAAATATAGAAAAGAAAAAGAAGCAAAATTCATTTTAGCAGTTTTTTTCTCATATTTAACCTCCCTCCTTCCTATCGCAGGAGTAGGGGCAGGAAAATTCAAGAAAAATGTAAAACCTCTACTTAGAAGAGCATCCAAGACTTTCATCATGCTCCTAACTTCCTAGGATTCTTTCTTACTATGTCATAAATGTATCCTGTCTATAAATCATGTGCTTATTCATCCCTTATAGTGGAATGGCTAGTATATTTTATGATGAAACTGTAACATTTGAACTAGAGGCAGTTTATCTCCTGAAAGAGATAAGGTAAAACCCAGGGAAGTAAAATCACAGCATCGTCTTGTAAATCTGAAAGCCTGCTGCTGGATCTACAAGAGAAGAAAAAATAGGAATTTTTTAAATCACTCATTTTATTAATAATAGTGTGATATTTCAATGCCAGGTGATTTTTTATTCCTTATTACAACTTTTCTTTCTATATAGTTCTTCTATTTTCATCATTTTGAATCACTAAGGTTAGAAGTGAAAATCTAGCTTCATGGATCTTACCCCAAAAAAGCATAACATTTGCAT